GCCGCCAGCCGGCCAAACCTTCTCCCTCCCCCTCCCCGACGGCGGCAGAAAAGCCATTTTCAGAGTGTTTCCTGCGCCTGCGCCAGGAACGCTCTTTTACTTTTGGGGGGATTTAAATATCCCCTTCATATTTTCCCCAAGTTTTCAGATTTTTCTGCACATCTGGGGATTGCCCCAAGTGTACAGGAAAACCTCCCTGCCCCCCAAGTGCCCCCGATGTGCTGATTTAGATATCCGCACGGAGGGGGCATGTTGGGAATTAGATATATAGATATATAATGCATACTACGCAAATCAGTAACTCAAAAATACAAAATAACGGAACACACGGTCCAAATACATAAATGACGTTCAGAAAGTGTCCACGTCAAACTTCTCAAACAGTGAAAAGTCCAAACATCGATATTTATAATTCCTCTTTACAAAACCCGTCTTGCCGCTTGTGTATCCACTTGACAGCCCTGCCAGCTTCCAGCTGCCGTATCGCATTGCTTCCTCAAAAGTGGAACACCAACACGGCCCAATCACAATATTGCAGAATCATACAAAGCATCTTTTACATTCTTAATGTTCAGCAGACCAATTCCTGTGATGACAGCAAATTGGGGAGGTATAAGCATTGATCTGGCACATGACATCACTGGAAGTGACATCATGATGCTTCAGCAGGAGAAAGCACTGCTGGTCCATCCCCACCAGCTCCAGCTCAGGGGAACCAGGAAAAGAAATCCTTGTAGCCTCTAAGATCAATGGTGGGTCAGTACCTTAGGCTCCATCACATTAGACCTTTGGTCCACCGAGGTCAGCTTTGCCTACGCAGACTGGCAGCGGCTCTCCAGGGTCTCAGGCAGAGGTCTTTCACGTCACCTTCTCCCTGGTCCTTCTAACTGGAGACACCAAGGACTGAACCTGGGACCTTCTGCACGCCAAGCACAGCTGTGGCCCTCCCCCATCAGGGAGAACCCAGCCTTTCAACATTCGGCTTCCAGCAACTTTAGTACTTGCACAGATGACAGAACATCAGGAAGACAAGCTTTTGTGTGTGTGTTTACCTGGAAGTCACGGTTGACTTCTGGCAAACCTTACTGGGGTCTGGATGTTTCAGAAAGATGGTTTGATACTGCCTGCCTCTGCGTCCCGACCCTGGTATTCCTTTTTTTGGGGGGGCCCCCGTGGGAGATTTTTTAATTGCATTTTCTATAAACTACAACGAAATTAGGAGGGGAATCTACAAACTATGGGAGAAAGTAAAGAAAAACCACTAAAAACCCAAGAGATGGTGGTCACACATAACGCTTATAAAATTAGCTTTTAGCTTAAAGTTTGATTAAAGTTCATTGGATGTGGTCAACAAGTATAATCTTCATACGTATTAGAGATAAAAACACCAACATATCTGACTTCTTAAAACGCAATGATTAACAAATGTTAGAACAGATGCTAAGGACTGCGATAACTCATTTTTTGTCCTTTTTCTTTCTCAAATGTTTTGGGGGCTGCTGCCCCAAGGTTAGAACCAGAAGAGGTCACTGCTCCTTCTTCTTCACTTCCCTTGATGCTGTTGCCTTCCTCCTCTTCTTCTTCTCCTGCTGGACAATTATTCGACCCTGGTATTCCTTGGAGGTTTCCCTTCCAAGTACCTGCCGGGGTAGGCCCCGCTTAGCTTCCGAGCTTGCCTGGGCTATCCGGGTAGGAACAGCAGGTAAACGTAAACGTTCCCTTGCTCGAAAGCCAGTCGAATCTGACTCTAGGGTTGCGGTGCTCATCTCCGTTTCAAAGCCAAAGAGCCAGCGCTGTCCGAAGACATTTCCATGGTCATGTGGCCGGCATGACTAAACACCGAGGTGCACGGAACGCTGTTACCTTCCCACCGAAGCGGTACCTATTTATCTACTTGCACTTTCTTGCTTTCGAACTGCTAGGTTGGCAGGAGCTGGAACTAGAGACGGGAGCTCACTCCGTCATGCGGCACACTCGGGTCTCGAACTGCTGAACTACCAGACCTTCCACAGCCTGCAGTTCAGCGTCTTAACCACTTGAGCCACCGCAGCTCCAGGAACAGCAAGAGTAGCTTGTTAATGAGCGGCATTCACTGCCGAATTCCCTCATACCCCAGAAAAATAAAAACTAAAAATGTGCTGATATTAGATAGTTATGCATTTTAAAACAAACGTTGCACTGATGCTGGAGATTTAAGCACTGATATTAGACATCTGTGGGGCTGCTGCGGTGGCTCAGCCAAGGAGGCCAGGCTGGCTGCGACCAGGGCCGGGGCCTTTCCAGTGGCGGCTCCTCACTGGTGGAATGAGCTCCCGGAGGAGATCAGGGCCCTGCGGGATCTTGTGCAGTTCCGCAGGGCCTGTAAGACGGAGCTCTTCCGCCAGGCTTTTAATTAGGAGCCACTACCACCACGACCTCCTGCTGACCTAGCAGTTCGAAAGCAAGAAATTGCAAGTAGATAAATAGGTACCGCTTCGGTGGGAAGGGAACAACGTTCCGTGCGCCTTGGTGTTTAGTCATACCAGCCACATGACCACAGAAACGTCTTCGGACAGCGCTGGCTCTTCGGCTTTGAAACGGAGATGAGTACTGCCCCCAAGAGTCGGATTTGACTGGCTTTCGAGCAAGGGAAACCTTTACCTATCAGACATCTGACCACTGCTGTGCGAAGAGGAGTATTAGCAGACCAGTGCAGAGACCAGATTTGTGGCCAGCCTCCCCACCCCAGATGTGCTACTGGGTGCAGAGTTCAGTTCCCCAAAAATCGCTTCTAGGCCCTACAGCTGCACCCACAATACCTGCTGAAATCACAGAGACCAGGGAGATTATGGAGGAAGGTTTCCGGTAGCTGAGGGCACAGCCTCCTTTCCCCTCCCCACAGAACCAGACTGCAACAAAAGAGTAAAAATGAAAAAGCCAAACCCCACCACTCTCAGGTCTCTCTACTTTCCCAGCTTTGGGTAGACAGAACGCGCTTTCGCAGGACGAAGTGTCTCCCATCGGCCGAGCGGGCTAGAAACAAAATTAAACACCCTCTCGGGTGTCATAGGAACATCCTCTCGGGTGTCATAGGAACATCCTACTAGATTTCATGACTGGCGATGGGAGAGCAGCCGTTCTCACCCGACTCATCCGACTGCATCCCGTCTGGAAATGCATTAAAAAATAAATCACAGCAAGGTCATAAACTTACTGACAGACGGTCCATGAAGGAGCTGGCAGTTCGGACAGTGATACAAGTCAATGTCGGCTGCTGCATCTTCTTCCACTCCGACACAGCTTGAAGAAAGAGAGACGGCGGGAGTGAGACACACACACACAGCTCTCCAAAACACACTCCCCTGTCTGGAAACTGAGCGGGTCCCCAAGAGACCTGTCTATCACTCTCCAGGTCTGAGCAGGGACCCCTACGAGGTATCTCCGAACAATGGGGACCACAGGTTAAGTCAGAGCATCTCTTTGCAACGTGAAACGTATCCGGTTTAACCTTCATCATCTCTGGCTAGAAAACACGAGCGGGGAAAGGGAATGCATCCTGGACCACTTTGCTGTTTCTCTATAACGCCGCTCTTTATGTTCTTAAACGGCCCATCTGGTTGACTTGAGTGATTCAAAACGAAAGGCCCCCTCGACGATCAACACCTCACAGTCCAGTCGCCATTAAACTTTCCGCTTAAGGAGCTTCGCAAGAGAATAACTCCTTTCTCCCCACCGCCTTGGGGATCGTGTTGGTTGCATCCCACGATACAACAGAGCGGCTTCGTTTTTCTACGAATGGTCTTATTGTGAAAGGGGTCTAGTTCAGTGTGAGACTACTTAACTCTGCCCTCACCGGCCCTGGCTGCCAGTCAGAGTACATAAGAGAGGCGACATGCACTGATGCAGCATAAAGCTGTTTTAAGTTTCTGTGCCCAAAAACCATCAATTTATTCCGGCAAGGGAAATCCATGTGGTCTACCTTCTGGAACCAGCATCCTGTCTCACACAGTGGGTAGCCGGTTCCTCCGGAGGGCCAACATTGTGACACAGAGGCCAAGGCCTTCATAAGGACATCAGAAGAGCCCTGCTGGGTCAGACCAGTGGTCCACCTAGTCCAGCATCCTGTCTCACACAGTGGGTAGCCGGTTCCTCCGGAGGGCCAACATTGTGACACAGAGGCCAAGGCCTTCATAAGGACATCAGAAGAGCCCTGCTGGGTCAGACCAGTGGTCCACCTAGTCCAGCATCCTGTCTCACACAGTTGGCCAACCAGTTCCTCTGGAGGGCCAACAGCAGGGCAGAGAGGCCGAGGCCTTCCCCTGATAAGAACATCAGAAGAGCCCTGCTGGATCAGACCGGTGGTCCATCTAGTCCAGCATCCTGTCTCACACAATGACCAACCAGTTCCTCGGGAAGGCCAACAGAAGGGGATAGAGGCTGACGCCTTCCCCTGATGTTGCCTCCTTGCTCCGGGAGTCAGAGGTTTAGTGCCTTTGAATGTGGAGGTTCCCCTCAGCCACCCTGGCTAGTAGTCACTGATAGGCTTATCCTCCATCTCACCTCCTTTTCAAGCTGTTTATTCCTTTGGTTATCACTACATACTCTGGGAGCAAATTCCACATTTTAATCACTCTCTATGTAAACAGTATTTCCTTTGATCCGTTTACCTTTACCTTACATGCTCAAAAGGAAGTGTGCAGTTTTTTAAAAAATACAATAAGAGGATGCTGGATTCTTACACCTTTCCTGGGCTTCTGTTAACTTCTGAGCTGACTCGCCCAGTCAGTATGATTAGTCTGAAGCACGGATATGACAGCCCCGATCGCAAGTCACAGGGAACGCACGTACAATCAGCTCACACTCCCGTTTTTCTTTATACACACATTAAATAATTCTCATGTTATGTTCAATGCATGTGTAACTCAATGAGTGACTGAAGCTCCACATTCATCCAGTTCCCGTCCCCCCCAAGTTTCATTTGTGAAGGGAATGCATGCTAGCTCTTTCTTAGATATAGAAGAAGAAGAGATTGGATTTACACCCCGCCCTTCACCTGGAGTCTCAGAGCGGCTTACAAACTCCTTTCCCTTCCCCTCCTCACCACAGACACCCTGGGAGGTAAAGGAAGAAGAGGAGATTGGATTTATACCCCGCCCTTCACTACCCAAAAGTGTCTCAGAGCGGCTTACAAACTCCTTTCCCTTCCCCTCCCCACAACAGACACCCTGTGAGGTGGGTGGGGCAGAGAGAACTCTGATACAAACTGCTCTTTTTCAAGGACAGCTGTGCCAGAGCTTGTGACTGACCCAAGGTCACATCAGCAGGTGCAAGTGGAGGAGTGGGGAATCAAACCCCGTTCTCCCAGCTTAGAGTCCGCGCACTTAACCACTACACCAAACTGGCTCTCTGCAAAGATGCAGAATGTACACACACTTACTGTACTGTACATGCATTTATTGAAACATGTGAAACAAGACTTACCTGTTTGCAGGTCTGATTTCAGCCTCCCTTCCCATACTGCAGCCTCTGATGACTCTAATCAACTGAGCTATCGTTTGCCAGGTGTGAACAGAATGTCTGTTCCTGAATACGTGGGCAAACATCCACAAGCCTCCATGTACAGAGGCAATATACCTTTGGATTCCACATACTGACAATAAGCAACAGGGAATACCCTCCCTTTCCATGTTCTAGTTGTGAGCTTTCACGGACATCTACCAGGCCAAAGATTAAGTCCAGCTGCACCTTTAAGGCTAACAGAGTTTAATTTTGGGTATAAGCTTGCAGTGCACGTACAGTTCTTCAGATACTGATCTGAAGAAGTGTGCATGTACACGAACGCTCATACCTTGAATAAAACTTTGTTGGTCTTAAAGGTGCCACTGGACTCAAACTTGGCTGCGTTGCTTCAGACCCACACGGCTACCCACCTGGCTCTACCTGAAGAAGCGTGAATGCACACAAAAGCTTATCCCCAGAATTAAACTTTGCTGGTCTTCAAGGTGCCGCCAGACTCAAACTTAGTTCTGTTGGTTCAGACCGACACGGCCACCCACCTGGAATCTCTCTACCAGGCTGCTTCCTTATGCAGGTTTGATTCAGCAAAGTGGTTCTGACAGCAGGCGTCCGTGGGGATCGCCCTCACATCCCGTCCACATTTCTTACAACAGGCCACACAAACTGTTCCACGAAGACCCCGAAGACGACAAAGGTCCGATTCCCCATCTTTTGAGATCCGGACTGTCCAGAACTCACCCTCCCTGCCCCCCCAATACCACCAAAATGCCAATTTCCCTCACACTACCCTGGTTCATCGGCGTCGTCCTGTGCAGTCCCACATGGGGTCTGTGCAGCCGCAGGGCAAGCCTGCGGCTGCACAGACCCCATGTGCGCCTGCACAGGACACCGTCGCAGCCAGTGCGAACACCAGTCAGCGCAACACCCTTCTTTCTCACCTGCCATGGAACCAGTCCTGACACACGTCGCACTCGATCATGAAGCGGGTGACATCGTAGGGCAGGCGGCAGAGGCAATAGACGGGGACGGAGGCCATGGCCGGAGAGCGGGGGCTGGGGGGCACACGCAGACAAGGCCCTGCGGTCCCCAGTCAGGCGCCGAAGGCCCCCTAGCTGCCCGGGAAGGGGGCCATGCTGAGCGGGGCTGCAGGGAAAACCCAAAGTCTTGCTGCCAGGTGAATATGCCAGGTGTGTAGATATTGGGGTTGGGGGGAGAACGCTGGCTTTGGTGGGTTTCTCCCCCCCCAAGGTTTCTAGACCCCCTCCTCAAAAAGTCCAAGGTGGGGCCGGCAGCCCCCTCGCGGCTTCAGTCTCGGCTCAGCTTCAGTTTCTGCCTCCCCCACCCCAAACAAGGAAGGTCTACCCAGGAGCCCTCCAAGTTGGAGAAGTCAAAACATTCTCCCCCCCCAAGTCTGTCCCCCGCCCCCCACAGTCAGAAGTTTGCAGTTTTCGCCCCCCCGACCCCCAATTTAGGGGAGACAACCCCCCCCCCCAAAAAA